CAAATAGCAGCAGGCAGGAAACGCACGCGGTGTCGTCGCCCGTCGCCGGGCAAGTTGCGGCTGTGGGGCCCGCTGGTCAGCGAGGGAAGGTGCTGGAATTCTTGGTGCCGCCCAGCGCGTATCTTTGCTGGAGTCGCGACAGATGTGGTGGGGCCCCGGGATCTGATCTCCGACGTGTACCCAGCTCATGCCTGCCCCTCCTACGCGTACAAAAACACTGCGCCTTGCGGGTTTTTTTTTTTGAACACAACGAAGGCTGTTGTTGTTGATACGGAAACTGAAACCGCCCAAAAGCGCCGCTGGTCTTTGAACCACCGTGGTTAGGGCATGTGCATCAAACGTACGCACGCCTCGTCAGGAATTCCGTTATCATGCTATGTCATCATTCATCTCTTTGAATGCACGTCAAGAATGCTGATTTGCGTTTCTAGTCTAGAAGAAAAGATTTATGCCGATTCAAATGCCAGGACATTGACACCCGAATTTGATGTTGCGGCCAATAAGGAGATGGATTCCGCCGGTAAAATTAACCAGACCTACGGGTAAGTATGCAAGTGGTTTCAATAGTTGGTGAGTGGTGAAAGATTGTACCATCATACCCGACAAAAATTGCACCACTAGAGTAGGAGTATTTCATTTTAGTTTTAGAAAGGCTTGAAACCACGAAATTGGCTTTTTTTTCTACTTCACATATATAAATTTTCGGTTTTGGTAACACCAAGAAAAATAACTGAAGGGACACTCGAGAACCAGCTAAAGCTAGCAGGATGCCAGCTAGAGTGCGTTGTCGGTCTTACAAGAAATTGTACATGCCCGTCCAAAATATTTGAGAGTCCGATGTTGATTGGTGGTCTGCATCTAGTCCCATACTTCTTTCACTTCATTGGATTAAGTGTGCTTATTTTGGCGGCTGAGAGTCCAACTCATACAAGAAACTTATTCCTCTTCTTTACGAAAATGTCGCTCTCATCTTTGCGATGTGATAATGCTCTCTTAGGATTTTATACATTTGCTACTAATTTTACATTGAACTTGGTCTTGATTTCATGCTGGAAATGATACACATTTTAAAGGTAAAAAAGTTACTAGGGCTTCAACCAAAAAATTTATGAAAAGGCTAAAAATCTGACATTAGATTTTTAGAGGTCCACAGCAAACACCTTGGTAGCCGTCCGATGACGAGCACAGATTCGAAAGCATGGCTGGTCACCACGTCACCTCCGTGGGACCGTTCGGGCCGTATACAAACAACACGAACATGTTTCTTTTAGCACACCACCCCCATGCACTCACCCCATTCCTCATCCAACCATGAGTGAGAGAGGGAGCTAGAATCCATGGCGGGGGTGTGACGGCACGACGGTTGCAAGGGGCGATTCCAGACATTGATGCAGTCAAGAACACTGGACCAGAGTGGCTATTTGATGCATCCACTGTGATACACATGACACATGGTAGTGTTGATGATTCTTTGGTGATCTTAGCACATAAGGAGGATCACACTGGAGAAAAACCCCCGCCCATGGAAGCATCACACAAAATTTTACATGCCTATATTTTCCCGCTCCTTTGCATTCAACAACACCCCCCGGCGGACTTAACACAGGGAAAGATGGTCATTTGCGTTGCACCCGATTTTGCATGCAGCTGGTACAACCGTCCCTGGGTACACCAGAAGTCACATTGTTGTACTACCTGATGAGCATTGGGAGCCTCCGCCTGCTGGCTGGCTCAAACTTAACATGGATGGTGCCTTCTCTAAATACCGGTGTCGGTGTCAAAACCGGCAGATCTTGGGTAGATGGTCCCGAACTGTGTGTCTAAGAATCGATGGTAACAGGAGACATGGGACATGATGTTTACCCAGGTTCGAGCCTTCTTGATGGAAGTAATACCCTACTTCATGCTTGATTGATTTTGATGAGTATAGGGGTTACAAGAGTTGATCTACCTCGAGATCGTATGTTGTGGTCTAAACCCTACAGGTATGATGAGTAATGTCATAATAATCTACCGACTAGCCTGGCCTCGGCTTATATAATGTACCAGAGGCCTAGGATAACAAGAGTCCTAGTCGAATACGCTAGTGGAGAGGAGTCCTCGTCTTGATCACCAAGTCTTGTGGAATCTTCCTCGTGTATGCATCGGCTGTCCGAACTGGCCCATGCGCATATGGCCATGGGGGTCCTCGGCCCAATCCAACTGATTGGGAGACGACGTGGTGAGTACCCCCCTAGTACAGGACACCGTCAGTAGCCCCCTGAACCGGTCTTCAAGTTGGGGGCGCTCATCGATTCTTTCGAACTGTTCTTCATCTTTGGTCGTCGGTCTTGAAAACTGGTTCAACAAATCTTCCCATCTTTGATCTTGAGGATCGCCGAAGTAAATCCGAAGAGTTTATACGTTGGGTATCCGAGGAGCCCCTTTAAGTTCTTGGCCTTTATCAATGCCTTGTTATTTTTATGCCACATCTCGGGTTTGAAGTTGTTCCCGGGCGGCAGCGTCCTCTTGCGTCCGAGCTCCAACACCGGACTGCATTCGAGGTATTTTTTGCAGCCGAGCACCAACGCCGGACCGCTTCCGAGCTCCAACGCCGGAATGTATCCGAGCTCCAATGTCAGACTATGTCCAAGGTCCAACGACGGACTGTATCCGAGCTCCAACGCCGGACTATATCTGAGGTGTCATAAATCACCTTGATTTAAAAAAGTTGAGGGAGTTTAGCCGAGCTTAATGCCGGAAATGCCCTCTATGGAGCCAGCCACTAGCGCCCGAGCTTTATGATGGACTGCTTCCGAGGTGGTGCATCACCCCGACCATGGGCCGCTTTTTGTCAATATTTTTGATTGGTGCAATTTATTCTCTGCCGAGATATATAGCCAGTAGCACGCAAGGTGTGTACCGGTCTAAAAACCCGAGATGCACATGAAGGATGACATAAGACCGCTGATCCCAGTAGCCCCTGAGACTCGGGTTGATTCACAAAATCGGCCTGAGGATCAACTCCTAGCTCGGCAGAATACTTCGGGACACAAAAAACGGTGTGCAAATTCCTCGAGACTCGGGTTGGGTGCGGCCGACCAACCTGAGGAACATAATCTCCTCGAAAGCTATATTGCACTTTAAATTTTCTGCATTGGATTGTCAATGCAGTAGCCCCCGAGACACTGGTCGGGTGGCAACACTAGATCAGGGGATCGATACGGCCCTTTCAATATTAGTGAATGATAAGCCCGAAGCCCAGTAGCCCTCGAGCCTTAATGTGGGCACGGGTGGCCGAATTAAGGATCGATATCCAGAGTAAAACCAGAAATTATGTGTAATGATTCTACGTATCCAAATACTTTACATCATTAATGCTCGAATCTGCATTGTACAAAACTTTGTTGACCGACCATCGGCTTCAACCTCCTCGGCCAGAAGACGGGGAGTGTTTGTCCTACTTTATAAAGTCGTTATAAGGGCAAAGATTTATGGAAAACAAGGCAATCCGGCCATACTGTTTTATAAACAAAGGTACGCGGAAAGATATGTTATATTACTTAATGTAAGAAACATTTTCCAAGGAAAATAGTCCCGCTATCGGTTCCTTTCTTTGGGTCGTCATGCTTATCGTGATCATGAAACCTCACCTCAAATCAACGTGGGAGGAAAATATT